TATCTCATAGAGCTGAATGAGGATTAAATACAGTCCATTTATAGAAAGAACTTCGAACACTGCCTGGCACAATGTAAGGACTCCATAATGTCAGCTATAATTTAGTTTACATTTTCATGGACCATGATTTTACAAACTTGGGCTGATGACTGCCCACCTTTAGCCACAGTTCTTATGTAAGGAACTGGGTCACAAAAGGGACAGCTGAGGAATCTTCAGATGTAGTTATTTCTTATTAATCTAGTGAGCTTTTTCTGAAGTCCTATCTGGAGGCAGGGTGTTGATAAATTGACCTTTAACAAACTATCCAGTGACAAGTTTTGCTCATTTGTTTCTAATCCTTTGTTGTATAATCCATTCTATTAAGTTTGCATTCCAGTGTAAAAGCATTCTATACATGTTTTGATTGTGGCAAAATTGACACTTTTCTCAATTTGACACTGCATCTCATTGCTGGAATTATTGTGATGTCTATTAAGGGTGATGGAATAAGAATTAGGCCATTGATTGGTTTGAGGAATAAGAGAGAGCTGCTGACTTTAGCAACACACTAACATGTTATGATTACTATTTATTAGCTTCTCATAGGAAAACATTTGAGTTCCGATTTGCTTATCAACTTGGGGGGAGAGAAAGACTAACACAAGGACCAAAATAACAATCAGGATAACCAACATCACTGTAAGTGTAAGGAAAACCAAGAGGCCATGCCTAGAATAGTTCACAGGTGGCATATAGAAGGGGGGCATGAGGAGCAGCTGGCAGACACCAACTGGACCCTCTCTATGGGATAAATGGACCATGTGGGCTACTAGGTACTCAGGCAGGGACTCGGCCAAAAGCTTTTGTTTTTATAATGGGCTGATTCCAGAAACACAGCAGTGACAATAGCTCAGACGTGGGGCATACTGTGCCCACAGCTCTAAAATTAAAACATAATGCTTAAAGCTGGCAGTTATATTCCCCTAAATCCATTTTTAACTCCAAACAAAATACTCCTAAAAGGATTCTGTTCTACCACTGCCCACTCTCTTGAGGTTAATTGGCAAGATGGATCCATGCCAATCAGTTAAAATAACGCCCTTGGGTTCCTGCAACCTTTCCCACAATTTATGACTCTCTAGTTCCTTGGGACATACTGCCTGGAAAAAAAAAAAAAAAGAGCTCTACTTACTAGAAAATTCTACTTAAAACAGAAATCCTTTTTATTCAATTACTGGATTTTTTTTTCACATGTCTACAAATTTAAGTCCACTTTCTTTCATTAGGCAAGCCCAAGATAATGATCATAATTGACTTTATTTCTTTTTAATTTGGTTATTAGAACTTTACAAGCCCAGGGTCACCTTCTGAAGAACACTGCCCAACCTTGGGGCTATGAGGAAAAGGGAGGAGGCCCAAAGGGTAAGAACTTATGAAAGTGATCAGAAATATTTTTCTTTGATTTCAGCCTGTGATTTTATTTCTCTGAATATTTTAAGGAATATAAGCTTACAGGGAACTAGAGTTGGATCACTGAGGGTTTTCACTTAGAATCTTTTCTAACAAAGGCCTGTCCATAATTGAAGGAACAGAAAATGTTTCTGTTTTCATCTGAACCACTAGCATTCACTGTGTGTGTGTTTAGTCGCTCAGTCGTGTCTAACTCTTTGCAACCCCATGGACTATATCCCACAGGATCTGTCCCTGGAATTCTCCAGTCAAGAATATCAGAGGGGATTGCCATTCCCTTCTCCAGGGGATATTCCCGTCCCAGGAATTGAACCCTTGTCTCCTGCATTGCAGGCAGATTTTTTCCTATTTGAGCCACTAGGGAGGCCCTGGGCATCACGTATCAGAGACTCAGGTCAAATTTTGTTCATCTAATTAACCAGCTGCTGCTGCTGCTGCTAAGTCACTGCAGTCACGTCCGACTGTGCAACCCCATAGACGGCAGCCCACCAGGCTCCCCCGTCCCTAGGATTCTCCAGGCAAGAGTACTGGAGTGGGTTGCCATTTCCTTTTCCAGCACATGAAAGTGAAAAGTGAAAGTGAAGTCGCCCAGTCGTGTCCGACTCTTAGCGACCTCATGGACTGCAGCCTACCAGGCTCCTCTGTCCATGGGATTTTCCAGGCAAGAGTACTAGAGTGGGGTGCCATTGCCTTCTCCAATTAACTAGCTACCCACATCTGAATTGAACTTCTACCTGAGCCAAGCTAATCAGACTCCTTGCATGTTCTATCTGCAGAAATGCTAGGTAGCTTCTGTTCAGCTCAGGAAAGGTTTTGTACCAGTACAGGTGTATATGGAGAAACAGAAGAGATGGGGAAAAGAGATTAAAATATTCCAACATACGGATTGGGATAGAACTGACAGATGGAGACCATCTTAGTTCTAGAAAGGCATACTGGGGAAGAAAATGCTGTTTGAGCCAAATTCAGGGATGTGGTGTGAAATTATGCCATAACTGTTGTGATTATCATAAAACAACTCTCTCTCACCCTTAGTCTTCTCAATCCCTGGGAAAGGTGAGCAGAAAAAAAAAAAAATGTTATACACGGAATGATTTGAGGGCATGACATATTCCTTCTAATGCCACGATAAAGGAAGCTCTTCAAAGATCTTGTCACCAAAGCATTTAACATTCCTGTACCATGAAGTCCATCTTCAAATTTCACTGCTGTCCAAAGCTAAAATGAGTCAACACTTTTCTGAGGATTGTAGCATCAAGGTAAAAACTACTGTATCCATTCCTTCCCAGTAAGACAAAAAAATTCCTGTGACAGGCCATGAGTGCAGAGAACTTAGGTGTTGGCTCCAGAATGTAAAATAATGGTCCCTATTAAGACCCAGAGGGGGAAGTAAGAAGACTCAATTCATAAACTTTTCCTGGTCGACAACCTGTACGTCTGTGTGCTAAGTTGCTTTGGTTGCGTCCGACTCTTTGTGACACTATGGACTATAAGCCCTTCCAGACTCCTTTGTCAAGAATACTGGCAAAATACAGGCAAAAGAATCCTGGAGTGGGTGGCCATACACTCCTCCAGGAGATCATCCCAACCCAAGGATCAAACCCATATCTCTTATATCTCCTACATGGCAGGTGGGTTCTTTACCACTAGTGCCACCTGGGAAGCCTGGTTGACAATCCAGCCAAAGTCAAACCCTAGAGAAGATGCCTGTTCCCTTCCCATTGATTTTAAAACCTGTGAGTATCAGGCATTAGGACTTCTGGCAGAGGAAATAAATGGACTCATTCAAAGAGTTTACAGACCTAGTTTGGCAGATGCCAAACTTACTTTACAGGTAAGAGATGTAGGATCCAAGAGATGAAGGATCCACAGTCATAAGGTCAGTTGAGTGGCAGAGCTAGAAATAAAACCCTGAGCTCCAGACACCTGACTCACTGTTGTCTACCATTCCCAGTCCCAATTCTTACTACCAATATCATTTCATGTCAGATGGGGACTTTGTATGGAAAGATAGTCTAAGAGGGCAAGGAGAAGCATACCTGGTCATACTCTCTCTTAATATTACCTTCTAATGCCTAAGAAGACAATGCTTTATTTTCCCTTATTTCAAAGTAAAATAAAAAGAAATGCTTTCCTCTAAAGGTTTATTGGGCTTCACTGGTGGTTCAGATAGTAAAGAATCAACCTGCAATGCAGGAGACCAGGATTCGATCCCTGGGTCAGGAAAGATCCCCTGGAGAAGGGAAGGGTTACCCACTCCAGTATTCTTTCCTAGAGAATTCCATGGACAGAGGTGCCTGGTGGGCTACAGTCCATTGGGGTTACAAAGAGTCAGACATGACTGAGAGACTAATACTTTCACTTTCAAAGAGCTTATTAGCTGGGCATTCAAACTAGAGTCTTCATATTTTAGAACTAATTGTTGTACCTTCTAGAGAACACCAGATCAGTGTGTCTGTACTTTCTGGTGATAACCTGAAAATAGCCCAGAAAAGCTCTTTAACAGTGATTTGAAGCTGTGTCTTCCTCTCCTTCAAACCATTTTTAAAGATGCTCCTTGGCCATTCTTGCCCAGACAGTTTGCTAATCTTTCTACTTGACATGCTGCAGGGATGACTATTATTGACAGCTGATGCAGCCCTGACAGTTCAGCTTTCACAGATGCAGAAAGTAAAGCAGGTGTTGCCCCAGAGCAGAGGTTGGTCCCTGATGACCAACACTTAATGAACAAGATGGATATATGTAGAAGCTATAAGCAAGAGATAAGGCCTCTGAGGCAGAAATCATGAAGGAGTTCCTTAATGGATGGCACCATTTCTTCCATAAAAAGAACACTACAGAAGAAGTGGAGCTCACCATAGCAACGTGGAAAATAAGATGTACTAGAAACGGGTACTTGTGTTCATGTAGCACTTTCAAAATGAAAAGGGGCCCTGACTAGAGATTCCTTACCCCTCACCCAACATGGACCCTTCAGGCTAATGATGCCCTTAACCATTTAAATCATCCAGCTACCTTTCCTTGCCTGGTTTCCCTGCTTCCCAAACAACCATCTGATAAGCAAATTTTCCCCTAGATTTATGTCCCCAAGGAAACACACTGGGTCAGAGACCTTAATTAGACCATCAGATTAAGAGTTGTGTTTCACATTAACCATTGGCACTCTTGTTTATTCATTGATTGCCTTGGGAGTTTTAATAAGAACTAGCAGAAATTACAGACTGGTTCTTCACATGCCTAGGTCTGAAAAACTGAAGACTATATGTAAAGGGTAGAGAATTTGTCGACTCTCCACCTTGGAAGATTGTGTCTGGTCAGTGAGAGGGTTTCCCCTCACTGTCTGCCGCTCCTGACTTAGGGGTTGTTTTCATCACCACCATTACACCTGTTACATCTGCTTGCTCAGCAGACTGATTTGTTGATGAAAAGTTTCCGTGTAAATGTAGATATTATAAAGAACAGCAAGCTAAGTATTAGGTCTGAAAAAGGACATTCTTAGAAACCACCACTAAGTATCACTACCAGGCACTTATAAAGCAAAACAGTACCTGTCTCCTTAGATCTCTTGTTTTCTTGGTCATCTTATCAATTGCAATGTTTAGAGGATCTCCTTTTTCTTTTCTTCCAGTCTATTAAGAAAAAAAATAATAATTTCAGATTTAGAAAAATTCAGTGTTAGTGACATTAAAGGTTTAAAAAAATTAAGAAACACACTTGAATTGTAGAGTTCAAGCCATTAAAAAAAAAAAGGATTCTTTTCAATACCCAGTTAATATAACTTGATCTCTAAAGTTAATCTCTCTGAAATAAAGATTAAAAGTTGATGAAAATCAATACATTCTCAAGATGGTTACACATATGTCTGTATTCAACTCCATGCAGATCTATGTTTTCTTTCTTTCTCCAGACATTCAACAATTAAGTAGATACAAGGATGTTTTTGTTATTACCTTCAAATACAAGTGGGTTTTTTTTTTCTCATTATATATTTCTTCTGAATAGAAGACTACTGAGATAATAAAGCAAAACTAGAAAAAGAATGATCAGAATTTTATACTAATGTATCACAAATCTTTTTGTAATCTGTATCAAAATCAAAAGAGGTGCTTTAGTAGAAAACATAGTGTTTTAATCTCTGTTCTGCCATGCACTGGAATGCTAAACATAATAAGAAGGAACCCACAGCTTGAGGCCAGAAGGAAAATTTCCCTTATGACTATAACAAACAGAGGCAAAAGCAAAAGATAATAGTAATGGTATTTGATAAATTATTCACAGGAAGTTTGGAAGTTTAACTAGTTTCTATTCCTCCCCCTCCCTTGCTTTTTTTTTTTTTTTAGAATTTTTCATTTCTGTAGTAACACAAACCAAACCAAACAGAATCTCCATTCTTTTTAAGACCACAGTAGCAACAACACTCCCATGATAAAAAGCTCTGCACAACTTTATGGATGGCATTATCTTCCTTTGAAGAGAAAAGAGTCCCCCAAATCTTTGTCAAATCTATTAAATTATCTAAACATTAGTCAAATACCTTACAAATTGATTTATGGTCCCAGTGGTAGGCCAATTCCTGTTTATACTCAGTCTCTGTAAAACCATGCAGGTCTCTGCAGCAACTTATGTATATGATGAAATGAGATCCCAGGTCATAAATTGTGCCTCACAGGATATGTTTTGTGGATCTATAGAAATTAACATCTGACAGATTTCTAGATGTTTTCTTTCATTGGCAAAATCCTGGATGTGCAAGGCTGAAACATAAACATCAGACTCACATATACCTAGATTTTGGACATGAATTTGAGCAAGCTCCAGGAGATAGTGAAAGACCAGGAGCCTAGTATGCTGCAGTTCACGGGGTTGCAAAGAGTCAGACATTATTTAGTGACTGAACAACAGAATTAAATCAGTTACTCTTTTCTACAACTTGCTTAATCAATTCTTTTTCCTCTGAACGAATGGTTGGTTGATGTGTAATCCTATAGCATTTTCATGAAAAAGCCAAAACCAGGGCATATGTACGCCTTTTTAATGATTTAAAAATCCTATAAATTCCCATCACCATTCTCCACTCCTTGAACTCAAATGCTGACCTCTCAGATGTACACTCTGAAGTTTTATAAGTAGAAAGAGCTTAAAAGAAATTTACTAATGTTTATAAATCTGAAATACCAGCATAAAATTAGCTCCAAAGAAACAAAAGTATATGGAGAAGAACAATGTGCTGCTTTATCATCAGAAGGCAGCTGTCACATAGGGGGTATAACATCAGTGTCTGGTGAAGTTAGGTGAGACACTAACTTGGTAGCCAAAATTGCTTCTTTTCTCTTTGGTTTGCTCCTTGCAAATAGGATGTTTGCCTTCAAAATACAGGCACTTTTATGGAGGTCTGGACCATGATCATTCTGGAACCACAGATTTCTTAATCCTTTCCCATGCATGAGAGTAATTAAGAATTTACTTTGAAAACTGAACAATTGTGAGTTAAATGTGGCTATGAGAGAAGTAGACCAGATGACTGAACTTTCCAATGTAAAAATAGATGTCAAGACAGAATACATAATACATAAAGTAATACATAAGACAGAATACATAAAATAATCACTGAATAAATACTATGTCAGACTGCAATAAATACTATGTTCACTGCATTCTGCTGGTGACATAACCTTATCACTGTTTCACAAAGGAGACCATAAAGATTAGACCAGACCTGGACCAGGGTGAGGGGAGTGAGGCACTTGCCTCAGGTATAAAGAGGAAGAGGTCATCAAAGAACTCAGGAATCAAGGTAAACAATAATTTAATGAAATACTTTAGAAACTCAAAATTAATGCTAAAAAGTCAGCATTGAACAAATATCAGAATTTGAAATAAAGCCAAGCTCTGACAGGACCAGGATTCGGGTGAGGCCAGTGAGGTGCCCTATGTAAGTACAGGTCAGATAACATTTTTAAATTTTAAATCTTAGCAAATTAGAGGATGTATTTATACTTTTAAAAATGTCACTATTTACCTAAGCTTCAAATTTAACTGGGTGTTCTGTAATTTTATGTGCTAAAGCCAGCAACTCTATTGCCAGGGGTAATAGAGATGTTTAAGATTGTAAGTAGGGTGGTTACAGACACATACTTTGTGAATAGATGGGCAACATGGAAGTCCATATTCTACCTGGCATCAATAACGTACAACTAACTGTATAGCACATGTTCCTAAGGTGTAAGGTCACTGTGGAGGTGGTGAGGGGGGACACACAAAATGCAAGTAACATCCTTACTCTCGAGGAGCTTCTAATCTAGTGAGTGATCCCAACGTGAGACCAACAACACTAACAACTATGCAGAAAGACTAGCTCCCTACAGGGCTAAATGAGATGCTCAGAAGAAAATGCTGCATATCACAGAGAGATGGGAGGATTTAGCCTGACTTTAAGTCCTGGGGAAAATCTGAATAGGAAAACTCCTCTGTCCATGGGATTCTCCAGGCAAGAATACTGGAGTCGGTAGCCATTCCCTTCTCCAGGGGATCTTTCAAACCAGGGATCAGACCCAGGTCTTTGGCATCGCAGGCAGATTCTTTACCATCTGAGCCACAGGGAAGCCCAGATAGGAAAGAGGCAAGGTCAAAGCAGCACCAGGACAAGAAATAGAAAGGCAGGTACTAGGAGAATGGTGAGTGGAATGGCCAGCCTTTTCTCTACCATGTGAAGGGATTGGTTTGACTACCACGAAGACAAGTTATTTTTATAAGAGCTTCCTTATAGGGTGATTATAGCAAACAATAGTTTGATCTGCAAGCTCAGAGGATTCCAGGGACATTAGCATTCCCACCTTTGTGCAGTTGAGATTCTTTGTATAATATTTGCAATTTAGTATCTCCAACTTTCAAATCTTTGGCTGAAGGCAATTCAAAAACTGCAGTTGACTTGGATGCCATATTTGTTTTCTTGGTTTAGAGCAGCTAGAGAATGGTAAAGGCAGGACTGGAACTTAGGGAATGGGGGCCATCGTTGAACTCATCCATTTGCTGGCTCTTTGTTAGCACTGATTTCTTTAAATATTACCAGCGTTGGAACAAGGATAATAATCCCTCAATGCTCAGATTTACATAGAAAATGGGGACAGTAGCCCATCACTCCATACTCTCCTGTTCTCTGTCATGACCCCAAGTAGAAATACTTTTGAATTATCAACCTAAATTGGACAAGAAGTCAATCGCTGAGAGAGGCCAAATAAACAAACAAAAAAGACTCTTGCTTCATAGTGTCAACCCTTTGTCACTAAGTTCTGTGATCTTGGATTAAAGATTTGCTCATTTTTTAAGTCTGAGTTCTCTCATAAGCACAATGGATAGCATGATATATGCCCTATCTTCTTGACTGGGCTAGCAGGACAATCAATCATGGTGTCAGTGTGCTGGAAAAAATAAAAGGCATTAATAGTATTCAGGGTAATTAGGAAAGCATTTCTACTGTGGGGAAAAAAATGAAAGTATTGCTTTGGAAAATACACAGAAGCTATTTTTAGATCACCTGGACTTTGACTTCCTCTACTCAGGCAGATAATATATGAAAAACCTTGCCAAAAACTAGAATTCTTAAAGGAAAAGTTACTTCTGTTTAAGGAAGGCATATTTGGGGCAGTTCATTTTAAAATTAGTCTGGGATACTGTAAGAGGTGAAATAAGGGGCAGAAACTCCAGATGAATATCTTTTGCATAGTAGGTCCATGGATATATTTTTAAATAACTAAAGATTTGGTCATCATGAGCAAATTCTAGTTTCCAGGGAATCAACCAGAAGCCTTACCCAACTCTCCCTCCCTAACCCTCCAGGCTCTATGAACTAAAAATAGTTTAACAAACTGAAGTGAAGGGAGAGCTCCATCTTCATTTTGACACCATTGTCTAGTAATTAAACCAAAGTGTGTGGTCTACATCCATTTACTCCCTGTCTTTGCTGAATAAGAGGGAAACGAAAAGCAGTCATAAGCACTCTCTGCCAACAACTACCTAGGTGATGAGGCAACTTCTCTACACTCCAGACTTATCATCTGTCCAACAGAGGGAGCAGACATGAGTGACAGACCCCAGGAAATGGGGGAGCCCAAAACCCATCAAGAATTCATAACCGTGTTTCCCTGTTGTGAGGATGTTCTCACTGCACTACAGAAAGGGCTGGGACTGGCTGTCAGTCGGGGTTTTCTCATCTCTAAAATGTGAGTAAATAACTTGCTTTGGTATTGTGAACCTAAAGAGACAGGATCTGGAGCAGGTGGCACAGCCCTGACTCAGCAAGAGGTATCTTAATCGATTTCTTCTTCTTCCTCACCCCTCCATTCCTCTCAAAGATGAAAAAAGCAAAACCCAGAAAGGTGAAATCACTGATTCTGATCATATGGCCTCAATATCATCAGACCAGGACCTCTGGACTTCCAGCCCAGGGATACTTCTATGCCGTATCTAAACTGTCTCTCATCTCTTAAAATTCTAAGATTTTGTGATTTTATGGCATTTCACATGTTTCTTTTCAAAGGCCATCAAAAAAAATCTTGGTTTGAATTTATCTGCCCTGTCACATGTTGCCTACAGACCCTGTGTACCTTTCGCAAAGTGCTCCCACTTGCCT